GTTTCTTCGGTCGTGTCGAGTGGGTGCTGCTTTTAAGCTAGTGCCGCGTTCTACAGGACGTTAAGTGAATAAAGTTAAAATCATTCACAATTACAGTAAAACGCACGCCAATAAAAACTCACTCACACGTCGTTGTTTCGAATCTGATGATCGAAAAACGCGAAGTGAAAATGTGTCTCAGAAGTCGTGTCTTTCCGTAGCATCGGGTGGGCGTTGCGTGTATTTAAGCTCCTGCAGCATGACGTCTCAATCCGGGTTAGGGTAGTGGAATTTCCGCTTACGTAAATTCCGGTAACATGTAATATCGTAGTCAAAATGTTAATGCATAGGTTTTTGTTCCGGGTGAAGGAAATTCCTTTTCATAGAATTCCGGGAATGGTATATATATATATATATATACATACACACACACACACACACACACACACACACACACACACACACGACTATATACTACTACTACTAAAATAGCATTCAAATAGTTTGTTTCCCCCCTGTAAAATTGTTACACTGCCGATTATTTGCGAATGCATGCTTTTGCCATCACAGCATCTTTTCATGACTCTTATATGCTCCTCAGTCATAATGTTTTGGTCTCGGTGGGGGTTGGTCTTAACTACAACACGGACGGGTAATGTTGGGCGAAATCACAACAACTGCATCGTCAGCTCCTCTCTCTCTCGTCAGATACTTTCATTCCCAATCACTGTTGCGCCTTTGGCCTAAAAAAAAAAAAAAAAAAAAAAAAAAAATGCATAAAAAGAGACAAAGGCACTAGTCGAGCTCCCCTCCTCCCAACTCCATCCGTGCATACATTTCACACATGTTAGCGTGTGACAAAGCTGCCATCAAAGACTTGAAGGCCAACTCAAGTTCAGCCTAAGTAGGGGGACAGTTTTGCTTCAGGGGGTGAGGAGATCACAAAGAAGGTGGTACCTTGAAACCAGATAGTATGCGGATTACTTATTACACTCGCCGGAGGACAACTGCGGAGGACAACTGCGGTGTTTATTTGCATATTGGGAAACAAAAACAAACAAACAAACAAACAAGCAAACAAAAGTTTTCAGGGTGGCATCATGCTGCAAAACCACAAGCGACTTTCGCGTCCAAGCTGCGCCAACGTGCGCTCAAAACTCCAAAACCACACCTCGCCATCGCAAACTTTACTTTGTATCAATCGGCTGCGAAAATGAGATTCGAAAAGCCTCCGTGAGTGACGTGACGCGCAAGCTCGTCGTGAAAAAAGTTCGCACAAAGGAGGGAGCGGCTAACGGGCCGAACAGATTGCACAAAAAGACGCGCAGCGAGCGCACCGCTGATCCTTTCTGGAAAATAATCAGCAGTCAGGTTTGCGTGCGTCACAGAAAGTTCGGGGAGCACACGGGGCCGAGTGTTTTTGCGTGCGCTTACCTGTGGGTCGTAACGGGACATGATCTCTTGGGTCGAGTGTGAGGAGAAGAAGGAGAGAAGAAGTAGAGGCAGCCAGTCTGATGTCGCTCCTCGGCTCCACGCACGACTGATACAAGCTCAACTCAAGCCCCGCCCCCTGACAGGAGAGAAGGGAAAAAAAAACAAAACAAAACAAAAAAAAAAAGCTAAATCGGTGAACTCCAGCACTGGAACGATTTTGCAAACTCCACTTCGTTTCATTCAAACTACAGCAAAACTTTTTTTTTTTTTATTCTGCATGAAGGAAGAAAGTTTCAGCAGTACCGCTCGCACATTTTCTGGACTTCCTGTTTTCGTTCACCAAACAAAAGCAACGATCGAACAGCTTTAACATCACGTGTTTATGAGCTTTGACTGACAGAATCGCGTACTTCCAACACGAAGATCATCACGCTCATGCCACGTTTGAAAGCAGCAAAAAATGACAACAACAAAAAATCGACACCTATACGTGTAACTCGAAATATTGTTTCCCCCTTTCCACTTGAAACAAGCGTCCATCATTTTTTTTTAACGCTGAATCTTCCCAGTCGACATACAGTGCAGAGCCTCCTCTCTTTGTCACCTGTCAGTCATTTTTTTCCCCCTCCGAGGTGACAAAAACAATGGCTGCGCGGTTCTTTCATTCCCTCCCTGTGAATTAACAGCAGCCAGCAGCTTTGTCATCCCATTCAAAAACAATGATGCACAGAACAAAGCCTTGAACTTAAGAGCATTAAGCCACTGGTGCAGAAATGAGCACCATATGCGCCGCCGCTGCCGCTCTTTTGCATGTGTCTATTTCAGATAAAGGAAAAAAAAAATGAATGCGGCATGTTGATTGCGTGCATGTGCGGATGTAATTTGCGTGCGCGGTAAAATCCGGAGCCGACGTGCATGAGAAGGAAGAGAAACAAAGCCAAGCGGGGTGGGCAATGCCGGCTCTTCTCGTTCCTGAAAAAATGGATGCATTTCAAGATAAGGCAGCCATGCATTGTACGCGTTTTTTTCATGCCTTTCGTCCCAGATCATGTTTGCAAAACTTTGCTCCGAAATCGTTTCTTAGCCCCGTTGCCAAATCGCCTCGTTGCAAAATGATACTCCGGGTTGGACAAGTTAATGTCAACTTGCTATTTACATTCCTATTAGGAAGCACACGGAACGTCTCCATAACTGGACACACACCAAACGGAACCGTGACGGACGGGTCTTGGCTGCTGTCACGAATGGAAGCCTTCGAAATATAGCGGGAAATCGAGTGGAAACATGAGACGAAATGCCTTTGAAGAAAAACACGACTAAACGGATCATCGCATCAGCCGAACAGCGGCGGTGACAAACTCGACTCGAAAATTAAAAGGAGTTCAAGGGGCGGCTCGGAATTAAAGTCTACATCAGATTAACGCTGCACAATTGCTGGCACCTGGGCTCGCAAATCCGTTTCCTCCTAAATTGCAAGCGAGTGGCAGCTGAAGTATATGTTGTCCTTCAAATCTGTTAATGCACATGTTAAACCCAGAGGTGAATCCCGCTCTTTGCACACTGAGCCGTCAGTGACCTCTTCTGTGGCTAATTTCCATGATGTAAAATGATTGAGGGAAATCATTTTTATGCAAGGATTAAACGGCTTGCAGTGACCCACTCGGCCATGGCCGAACTCTTTGACATATTTGACGGGGGGCCCGGGGAAGGATCCCTGAGGGACGCCACTGCAGCGGGCGCGAACTGCAAAGTCCAAAGTAAAGTCTGTTGTTTGTTGAACAAAATATTGAATCCAGTCGGCGAGAATATCAGTGCAAAAATGCTTGCTTGATAGATTGGGGATTTAAAAAAAACAACAAAGCAAAACAAAAACATGAACTTTTTTTTTTTTTTACATTGCTATTCTTCCACCACTGCATTAACAAAAGAATTATGCATTTTGGATTGCCATGCACCCATTTCCTAACCACAGTGACAAAGAGCACATGCAGTTCCCCATCTGCTTCACAGTTTTTTTTTTTTTTTTTTTTTTAAACATAAGTGTTGCCAAGATTTCTCAACTGGCAGCCACATCACGTCCATATATGGATCGTTACCACATCCTTAATAACATACAGTATGTATCTCGAGCCTACCTAACGGGAATGCTCCGATTTGATTTATGAAATCTGAATATTGCAACCGCTGATGGCAAAAGGATGATTGGAAGCAGATGCGCGTCGGCGCATTTCTTTATTTTGCAGCATACCGGATGCAATAGGCTGCGCGAGTGGCCCCCGATGAGAACGATACGCGCAATATGCGGGGAGCCGCCTTTGATAAGCGGGAATCTTAGAAAGTGGGATCAAGCGAGAGAGGAGGCGTCCCCGAGGTCAGGAGGGGTGGGCGCCTCCCCATCGCAGACGTGAAACAAAACCGCCCCAGTGACCGACACCTGCCCCGACGACGCCCCTCTTGATCACAGCGTCGCCGCATCAACAAACAGCGAGGGTCTCTCCGTATGGATCTGGCAAAACCGCCGAGAGACGAGAAGCCTGCGTAGTGAAGCCGAGCCATTTGGACGGTAATATTAGCACTTTGCGGTCCATTTGTTGCTTGTTTCAGCAGAGCGACGGGGCACACGAGACTGTCGACTGCAATCCTTTGAAACGATCTCGACCCGGGAACTTGCAATGTTTGATACTACCTCTGAAGTCCCATCTGTGTCCAATCAGACGAAGGTCATTTGTTCAACGTGAAGACAAAAAGCAATCGGGACGCCACGAGATGAGGCGATCGCATTTTGTTTGGTGTTCACACGCCCCGACGCAATCCGCCAAAAGGCTTCGACTCGCCTACGTGTTGCTCGAGACTGCCGAAAGACAATCGGACACACTCGGGCCGCTGTACGGGATGACTAACTACCTTTGTGAGCCTTTTGGAATGTCCCACTAAGTGGGGAAAGAACGGCCTCGTGAAGGGTGAGCTTTGGACACACCCTGGTGGAGACCAGAGTGAACGTTTGAAGCCTTGACAGTTTGGAGAGCAGAGCTGACCATCAAACGCTAATGCCCTCCGTCGAGCTCGTTATTGAATTCCAAGGTAACCGTTGTGCGATTTTCCAAGACCGAAAGGGTTACGGATTGCAATTATCGTGTGACTTTCATGAAATATCGGAATCGGTGTCCTTAAAATTGCATCGGACGTCTTGGATTTACCAAATGTACGCATCTTTGCCCCCCCTCCTCGGTAATTGTCGCTAACTCAGCAGCAACATTCCTGAAGTGCCTTCTTGCCATGACTGAAGTTCAGCTCCCGCCGGAGTTGGTCCTTTTGGATCTGAAACGTGTTTTCTCGCTTCGCTCGGCCTCGCGTTTTGGCAGGCTGCGAAGCTAAAACCGAATTCCAAGTCGGTAGCAGGCGAGCCACGTTTTGTCTCGCAATTGCGGCCATTTTTCCTTTCATCCAAACTGCTGTGGGATGAATGGGAAAAAAAAAATAAAATAAACGGGAATACCTTTCATTCTCCATCCTGCCGGATTACAGCGGATCACCGCGGCCCTCGGAGTACGTGCGTGAATACAATGTGACACCGGGCGCGGATTCTAATAGAAATCTCGGCGATTCCCTTTGAGATCAAACATCGGAGATAATCATTTCACTTTGGCTGTGCTTAGAAACGTAAACAGATCTTATCTCTCGCCGAGGAGGATTAAGATGAGAGCGTGGGGTTGGATTTTCAAAGTAGGCGCGCGCGTGCCGTTTGCCGAGTCGAACTTCTCCTTCATTCCGCAACGCGCGTTGCATTCGGCTTTCAAAGCAAAAGCGTCCATTCGACTTTGGGTTCGGGCAGACGCAAGAGCAGATCGATCCTCCGGTGACGGCCGGCAGGGACGCAAACCGGCGCGCTTAACTTATTTGGAGAAGAACAAATAAGACCCTCGAAACTTGCATCTGAGCCTGAGCCCTGATCTATTTATTTATTTCGTCCCCCCACCCCCTCCACCGTCCCCTCCCTCTCGCTCGTAGCATGGAAATGTCACCACACAGCAGCTAATTTCGAGCAAGAATCCCGCTGGATTTAAGATGCTGCAAGGGCCTACTTATCCCTGGAACCTCGAAGCCGAAGGCAGCGTGTCACAGCCTATTGCCAGAACTGCTGGCAGCGGGAGTGTATGTGGTGAGACACATGCGCGCACACGCACACGCACACACACACACACACACCCACACACACACGCAAAACTTGCTGATGATTTTTTCTTTTTAAATCAGCTCTTTAAACCGGCAACACTCCCTTGCGCCAAATAAATGCTTGAAAGGGGTCAAGTGCTGCTGCTCTTATTAGTCGTTTAAAAAAAAAAAAAATTGCGATGCTGCTGAAATATTTTAGAAGAGCAAGAATGAATGAATTCATCATCAGGCACTTTGGATTTGTGTGAAGACTGAGAAAAGGATTTCGACCGCGCCGCTTACTGGGCACGTGCGAGCTATTCTTTTCAACTATTTCCGCCGAGGGCCTTCACAATCAGGAGTGCCGGCTCATGACACTCACACACCCACTTGCATTATTTTGATTTCCTTTTTTTTTTTTTTTTTTTAAACCCAGCAGATTTCAGATTCACCAACCCAAGCCCGCTCGCTGCAGTTTACGATGCCATCTGCATTTTGCCGTCCTCCGATTGGTCGACCAGAGTTTACAACTTGCACAGGACGACGACAAAAGTCCGACATTCTTGTCAGACATGTCTCAAAGAAGTAAGAAGGTACCGCCGATTTGGAGAAAAGATTTTCAGCGTCGTTATTGAAAAATGAAGCGTCAAATCCAATGCGCGACACCCAAACGCGATCCTGTGACCTGTTTTTCATTCGAGCCTGTAAAACACAGCGCATCGATTGGACACACGCTCGGGGCGAGCGACCGCTATCAATACGCGTTCGACCCGTAAAACGGTTCCGAGGCGTCCCTAATTCAACGCCCATCGATCGCAGGAGCCGTTGGCTGAGGCGGCACTGATTATCAGGATGTAATTGTATTGCGGTCCCCGAGGCTCGTCTCCTGCACACCGACCTAAACCCCGACCGGATTGCCTTTCCCGACGTCCCTCCGGGGAGCCGGATGACAAGATCGTCTCGGCCGTGGATAAAAATAAGAGCCGACCCCGTC